GGGGGTGAGGTTGTGATGGAAAATAACTCTGTGGGCTACAGTTTACCTGCTCAGTGTCATGTTAAATTGCCACTTACAATAGAGTACGATAAATTGATATCGTTGTTATGCAAAAAACTGAGTGTGAGGAAACGTTCAGTGATACTTAAAGTAACCGGAAGATATCCGTATTTTGTCACTCCGCAAGGGGTTGCTGTTTACTCGAAGTTTAACATCTACGATGATGAAACTTTGAGTGATTTTCTGAGGACTCCAGACGAATGCCGGGAATTTTTTGTAATCACAATGTTGGAAATGTACGTGAAGGTCGAAGACGTTCCAAAAAACGAGGTTGTGCGTAGCAGAGATAACCCCCAGTCATCGAGTGGTTATTNAGGAAGGACCTGATTTGAAGAGAGTCCGAAGTGCCGTTTCATTCAAAGGAGATTCCTTACATTGATAACTTGCCAACCGTGCCGGATGTGGAAGCTCTAACAAGGGATTTTGATGAAATCTGGACAGCAATGTGGGATGAGTCTAGACCAACGGTGCTTGCAAAGGGGATGCTTTTTCCTGATAAAACGCGCTTAAGCAGGGCTTGTAAAATGCACAACGTAAAAGAGTGTCGTGAGATGCAGGTATGGGAGTCAAGTCCGATGGTATACAAGGTTGTTTGCCGCAGGTGGTTTTGGCCATGTAATTGGATGTTGCGTGCGACCAAGAAGAAGACAGGTATGTGGAAAGTGGGTAAATACATTCCCACCCACACATGTGAAATGGACACATTCAACGGGAATCACTTCAACTTGGATATTGACTTGATTTCTCTTGTACTTATTCCGCACATCGAAGCGTCCATAAGGTATACAATCAAAGAGTGCATTATATCGGTCCACCAGGAATATGGCCATACCATTACGAAAAGAAAGGTATTTCTCGGGCGCAAACGAGCGTTTGAAACTGTCTACGGTAATTGGGATAAGTCATTTGCATCTCTACCAAAGTACATGGCCGCACTGCAGCACTTTAACCCCGGGACAATTGTTGAATGGAAGCTTGAGCAGAGTCCGGGAACACCAGAATACATATTCAATTACGTGTTCTGGGCGTTTAAGCCAGCAATTGATGGTTTTTCGCATTGCCAGCCAGTAATATCTATAGACGGAACTTATGTCTATGGAAAGTACGATATCAAGCTATTGATAGCTGTGGCAGTGGATGCTAATGGACAGTTATTTCCTCTAGCTTTTGCTGTTTGTGCCAATGAAAGCACAGGGACGTGGACGCTGTTTTTGAACCACATGAAAGAGCACGTTGTCAAACAACGTTCAAGTATTTGTCTAATATCTGATCGACACAGTGGTCTATTAAGTTTTGTGGAGAACTTGCCAGCATGGCAAGAACCTTATGCATACCACCGTTACTGTGTGAGGCACTTTAAGGCCAATTTCCAGAAGGCACATCCCAACAAGGATCTACATGATTTGATGTGGATGGCAGCAACAGACCACCAACAACATAAATTCCGGAGGCATATGGATTCTATCAGGCAAGAAGACGAGGCAACCTATCATTGGTTAATGCAACATGACCCTGAAAAGTGGATGTTGCATGCGGATGGTGGCAGACGATGAGGAATTCTTACTACAAATGTGTTAGAGTCCTTTAACGGGTTATTGAAGTCAGCAAGAGGATTGCCCGTCACAGCCATGGTGCGGATGTCGTTCAAGCAGATGACGAAGAGGTTTGTTCAACAGTCTGCAGCTGCAACGGAATTGATGGAGAGGGGTGTTGAATTTATGCCAGTGGCTATGAAGAGATTTGAGAAATACAGACGGCGAGCACATTAACATTCATTTTTGTAGTATGATAACGAAAGAGGTGTTTTTGAAGTTCGCACCGCTATCCATAATAATCAGGGTAATAATGTACATACTGTAAATGAATCTGCAAGGTTATGCTCCTGCGGAAAATGGTCCATCTACCACATGCCTTGCTCACATGCCATCAAGTGTTTTCAACGTGTTGGTTATGCGGAGACCAACTATGTTGATCAACAATATAGTGTTTCCAAGTACCTAAACACATATAGTGGTTAGTTGCAGCCAGTGGGTGCTGAGCATTATTAGCCTCCGGAATCATTTAAAATGGTGTGTAACAAGTCCTATTTGCGTAAAATATAAGTGCAGAAGAGAACGCGTATACGGAACCAAATGGATGTTCGTGATACCGTTTATGCGCGCAAATGTGGTATATGCTCGCAAACAGGACACGACCGTCGTAAATGTTCTTCAGCTGGTTTGGGTGGCAAAACTAATCAAGCTCGTAGTAGGTGTTCTTCTAGTGTACCTAACTACCCATGTGTTGATGTTGTAATAATTAGTTATTATGTCTATGTTGCAAGATTTATGAAATAAAATTATGCTTGTTAATTATGATTTGTACTTTCCCATTTTACCTATTTAAATAATAATTTAATAAAATTATCTTTATATTTAGCGCGGTTAAATATACAGTTTTGTGTGTGTTGTCTTGTCGAACTGAAAAAGCTGACCAGCTGACATAAAGTTGTCTTGTCAACATCATGATATTTAACACGCAAAATATAGCGCTATTAGATAGTACGTTATGTATTTAGCGCGGTTGAACACTACGTTATATGTAGTTGTCTTGTCGAACTGAAAAAGCTGACCAGCTGACATAAAGTTGTCTTGTCAACATCATGATATTTAACATGCAAAATATAGCGCCATTACATAGTACGTTGTGTATTTAGCGTGGTTAAACACTACATTATGTGGGCGTTGTCTCGCCTATAAATAACAGGCTCATTGTAGTTATTTTGTTTGCTCAAAATTTACTAAAAGCAAATATTTCATTAAAAGTAAGGTTTTTTTTTTACTAAAAGCAAATATTTCATTAAAAGTAAGGTTTTTTTTTTACTAAAAGCAAATATTTCACAAATGGCTCAACCTCTTCGTCCACCAAAGTGCAAGTGTGGAAAAGCATGCTTGATGCAAAATTGTTGGGACATTGGTGAAGTTGGATGTCGCTACTAGCACTGTATGAACCAGTTTTACAAGGTTCCTAGTGAACCTATTTGTGATTTTGAGGAATGGGTTGATGAACCATGTTATCAGGAATGCTACAGAGAACAACTGCAGTATCTTTATAATGTGTGTTTAAGACAACGGGAACATAAAAAAGAAAGCAATAGAATTATTGCAGACTTGAGGGCGAAACTGAAGGAGGTGAGATAAGAAAAATGGAAAACACAATGAAATTGTGAAGCACAAAAGGAACATAAAAAAAATATAAACGGGAACTAGCGGAGGAGAAGGCGAAACTGAAAGAGGTAGAAGAAGAAAAAGAACAACTGAAAGAACGATTTAAGTGGTTGGAGCGGAGAATAAATAGCAACCGGGGCTAAACATTGGCATGTATGTGTTTAGTGTATTTTTCATATTTCATGTAATTTTATTATGTTGGTCTGCTATGTTTGTATTTGTGCTTGTAGTAATATTTTCCTTGTTTGTTGTACTAAATTTTATTTTAATTGAAGTGGAAGTTAAGTTTAAGTGCTTGTGTTATTATATGAAACTATCAAACAAATGGGGAACTAAAAAAGTAATGGGCATATTCGATTAAATATTGTTGTTAATGTATACAAAAACATTATTTACACTAAATAAAAAAAAGGAAGGCCGAATCAATGTGTCCCGCATCCGGTGTGTCTCAATGCAGCCGCTGGCCTGAGGGGGAGATTATGATGGGCGTCATACTCTCGTGCAAGAGTACGATGTATAACTCACCTACAGGCTAGAGGGAGATGCGGAATTTCTATATTAGCTAGTAGTTGTGGTAGAGGTGGCTGAAACTGCAGAAATCGCTCCCAGGCCCAAACCTAACATACAAAGTTGACGTAAAGTATAAGATTAACTATAACTAGGTAGAATTGTAACTAATGGACATATTATTTGAATATGTTGTCACTTGTAGAAGCGACAGAAAGCCACCAACATCTCTCTGTGTGCCGATGCAAGCCCGGCACATCTGCCTGTACAAATACGAGATGACAGCACCACCCCAGCTGTAGATGGCTGTATCCTCGAACTGACCAATATGATGTAGAAAACGGAGGCTCACTAGGTTCCCCGAAGTGTTCGGGGACAAGAACCCCCTCCCCCCAAGTAGAAGGAGCAACTGCAGCCTCATATATCGCTGTACATCCACCTCCGCTGACTCGTCGGTGATAGTATGGTGGATCTGCTCCAGGTGGTTTCTAATGGGGACTAACTGCATACGACTGGACCCAGACGCTATAGTCTCGTCCTCCGGCCTGAAACCCGTGAGCATGTGCAGTATATCCCAATAAGACTATCGCGAATAATATCTCATGGTCGCAGGCAGTAAAACTGGCAAGCCATCAGCGGACAGGCCATATAAAATCTCAGCGTCTTGGAGTGTGATGGTGGGCAGATGGAAAGTGTGTGTTTCCGATCGCCACCGCTCAATCAAGGCCAAAGCCCAGTCGAGCTGTATCCGGCCAATCATAATAATCCTATATAATCCCATCTCCTCCAGGTAATGGACCACGCGGGGATGTTGAACTCTATGACTCAAAAAGTCCCACAATAGATCCACTCTTCTGGCCCGAAAAGTCTGCGTAACCAACTGTCCGTCCCATATATACTCGGATCTATGCTGGGACTGTAGGGCTAATAGATCCAACGTCCGAGGACCGGGATGTATAGTCGCGTCCATGTCGTCAACTGTAAATTAAAACAACATTAATTGTATTTTATTCTGTATATTAAATATTAATTTTTTGAGATACGCAATTTTTAGCGTTATACAAAAATTATACCTATAGGTTCCAAGCTCGATATTTGAGTCCCACTAGCACCAAACTATCATTAATAATTATGTGTTTGTTTAATAATTTAAATTCATATTATTTAATAACTTAATTGTACAAATTATATATATATATANCTCTACATTTTACTACGCTAAAAAGGTCTAGATTTTACTATGCTAAAAAATAATCTAAACTAAACATAAATAACAAATAAATTTAATTGCAAATAAAACACAAAACGGCATGAAAACACATATATATAAATCAGAAAATTAACAGACAAATTTATTTGACAAATTTATATTTTTTTATAAAACACTAATATTAAATCCGGATAAATTTAACATACTAGTTTCGAAAAAAAAACATAAACTAAAATAAAACACATACAAATCAAATAATATGCATTATTATAAAAGTTCAACTTAAAATAAACCGAAATACCTCGATTTAGAATTTTCGGAAAGCAAATAGATTGAAATTTTGACTCCGAAAGTGTGAATCAACAATAATATGAAGCTCTACTCGAATGTAGGACCTACGTTCTTCACCTTTTATGTGACGGGGGACCCAATTTTTTTTTTAAATAGTGGGCCAGCGGGTATGAGAGTGGGGGACCAAGAAGAAGAAGGTATAAAATATTGAGGAAGAAGAAGCAGAATCGTCGTCTTGAAGAAGACGGCTCGTTTTTAAAAAAAATGGTATATCGCCGGGTATTTGGGCGCTATACCTGTTACTGTCAGCTTTTTATATATAGCGCCCAAATACTGGGCGCTATACATTAACGACACAGTTAACGTTAATGTATAGCGTCCAGTATTTGGACGCTATATATAAAAATGTCATCTTTTATTTACATCTATTAAAGTGTTACTTGTCCAAAAGAACCACATTTTGGTTCCGGACTCTGCAATGCAGTGACAGTGTAAAAATCTTGCGCAATCATATTAGTTACAAAATAATGACAGATTAAATCCCGTAAATTTTTAATTAAGGGGCGAGAAAGACAAGGACAGAAACTTGTACATACAACACATGGGGCTGAGAGACATATTCTGTAAGGAAACCACCTCTCAATTTCAAGCATATGCTATCACAAATTAAAGCAAGGCACACATCATATACTTGCGTTGTGGTGATTAATTAAAATACTTTGTAAGGCTAGAGTTTAGTTGTGTACGTATATGCTTCCACAACCTTTCCTTCTCATTCGTGCTCAACGCTTTATTAGCTAAGTCATATTCCAACAAAAAGAATAATGAGATGCAAATAAAATCTTATAATTATGGCACGTCACTGTCCCTTGTATATCATTTATTGTTAGTGTTTGGTGACTCAAATTACGGCCCTTAATACATGATGTGCCTAGGTTTTGGTTTCCATAAGGGGTAGTTACATGCATAGGGTCTTTACTGAATAGTGGTGAAGTGAGAAATTTTATTAAATGGTATCAAAATATAAAGAAATAAACACACGAAAAAAATTAAGGGGTTCAACATATAGTATATTTACATACAAATAAATTTTTAACTTAACTACGCAGAGTAATTTTCCTGCGAAAGAGTACCAGTTCACCTAAGGTGGCTCTGAAATTTATAAGTTTTTACGGCAGCTTCAATTTACTATACACTAATATATACAATTGGGTCCACATTCAAATATTCGTGGAATCCGTCAAATGACGCTAGACTGCCTACATCATATTTTCTTGGAATGCGACTCTTCTTGGAACCCTGCATGAATATAGGATATTTTATGCATCGAAATAATTTTTTTATTTAGTGAATTGTTAATATATATAGAGGAACCCATGTGTTATATGGCTAGATATATAGCCGCCTCTACCAGCATAACGTTTCGTCACAGAATGAAACTGCTTGTTATACCGGGCTAAGGAGATTCGATTTCCTTGGTTGAATTATTTGCTTGCTTATTCCACTTTTAATGATCTTTCTCTCACTATTTTGTATTAACGTGGACCTAAGTTGCATTAGCTGTATAACCTCTTAATGGCCGAGCTAGGATTTAGGATTCATGTTTATTTAAGTTACTGAATTCTAAATTAATAATTTATGTATATTCAATCAATTTTTTAAAATAAATATAAAATATGGAACAAAACTATTGGGTTTAGCCGAATCTGTAGCCGAAGGACGGGCGCCCAGCAGATGGGATCATATAGTCTCCTTATATGGCCTAACGTGGAAGGGGAATTGATAATGCACTAAATTAAAGGAGGTGAGTGTCATTCCTTGAATGGACAAAATATTGTACGAAAAATCTATGGTGGAGAACTAGAACAACAAGATGTCTGATGAGTTGTCCTCTTGCAAGTCAGTGATTACATTAGCACCAGATTTTCTTTGCCAACCACGTAATATAATATGATGGTTGTTCCTTCATTCCCCGCAATGTTAGAAATCCGGTAAAAAGCGATCACAAAAAGCGACCAAAGTTGGTCGCTTATAGGTCTAAAAGCGACCAAAAAGCGACCAAACATGCCTGGTCGCAATATTGCTGGTCCCTTTATTTTAGGAACCAAAGTTGGTCGCTAACTTTGGTCTCTAAGGTAAAAGGACCAAATATTCTGGGTAAAGACTATAGCAACCAACTTTGATCGCTTTATTATTTTAATAATATAATTTTGGCGACCAAAGTTGGTCTCTAAATGTAAAATACGTTATTTATTTATTTAATCATAAAAAAGCGACCAACTTTGGTCTCTAATCCAAATATTATATTTTAAAATCTAGAAAATAGAGACCAAGGTTGGTCGCTTTTTTATTAATTATTTTAATTTTTTTTTTTAAAAATAAGCGACCAACTTTGGTCACTATTTTCAAGAATTTAATTTTTTAAAAAATATAATCAACCAAAGTTGGTCGCTATATTTTCAGAAATTATTTTTTTGATGGAATAGCGACTAAGGTTGGTCGCTTTTTGAGAATTCTGGGTAAAAAGCGACCAACTTTGATCGCTATTGCCTATAAATTTATTTTTTAATAGAAAAGCGACCAAAAAGAGACCAAAGTTGGTCGCTTTTCCGGGTATTATTTTGACAAAACTGTCTGTTTTGGCAGCTACACCACCTGCCAGTCATACCAAATCCCTATTACAAGCAACAACAACAGCAATACCAACAACAACACAACAACAACAGCAACACAAAACAACATTAAAACTAACAAAGTTTAAAGTTCAATAGAACTACCACATTAAGCTAACCAAACTAAGTTAACTCTTATTACAAGCTCATTCGAAGACCGATTCTATTTGTCTAGTTCAAAGTTTATAAAAGTCAATGAGTGTTGTGTACATCATTATCATCACCGTCTGATGAACTTTTATCACCATGACGGTATTCAGAAGGGTCTACTTGTCGAGGACGAGAAGAACAATCACGGGGAGGACGGGAGGAACGAGCACTTGGAGGACGGGAGGAACGAGCACGGGGAAGGCGAGCATCTGGCGATGACTCACGAGACCAGGGAATCGGAAAACCTCCAGAAGCTAGGAGAGATTTGAGTTGCTCTTGCATTCCTTGGCACTGAGCGACCACGCCAATGTACTAAGCATCTCTAAGCTTTTCTCTTTCCTTGGCCGCTTCTAGCTCGGATGTGAGCTTTGTCACAGTCTCTCGCATAGCGGAGAGGCTCTCCATATCAAGTTGCTCGGCTTGCGAGGAAGTCCCTATTCCTTGCATTTCACACTTATAGCGATGGAATTTCTTAGTAGGAAACCCGTATACTTTCCCCCATTTTGGCCCTCCTGCAGCCTTCGTCCACATTCTTTCAGCATCCTCGTCCGAAGGTTGGATTGACTCGCCCGACTCATTAGGTGGCTGACTGCGTATGAATTCCTCCACTTCCCTACGCAGCTGCTCCCTGCGAGACTGCGGCACATACTTCTCCAGAAAGAGAACGGAGAACTGCTGCCAGGTAAGAGGTGCTGCACCAACAGGCCTACGCCTCTCAAATGCCTCCCACCAAGTGAAGACATCTCCAGAAAATTGTTAAGTAGTGAAAGCGACCCCGCTGGTCTCCAGAATACATGCTGTACGAAGCATCCTCTGACACTTATCTAAGAAACCTTGGGCATCCTCACCCTCTGCACCACTGAAGGTTAGAGGCTGAAGTCTACCAAACCTCTCCAACATGCGCTGCTCGTCCTCTGGCATAGCAGGAACTACATAATCTTGAGTAGTTGCAATCGGCTGGGCTGGATGTGCCTTCGGTGTCTGCACTCCCTGAACCACCGGATCGGGTGTGCGGGCGACGAGAGTCTGAGAGCCTCCCCCTTTTTGAGAAGTGGCTGCGGAAGTAGAAACCGCGACCGCTTGAGCAAGACTCTCACATACGGTCAATATCTAGGCCAAAGTATAAAGACCCGGAATCACAATGGGCACAACTAGTGCCTGAGCGGCTGCGGCTGGAGCGTCCACTGCCGGGACCTGATCCTGAACTGGGGCGGCTGATGGATCTGCAGGTGCTTCCCCAGCTGCTGTGTGGGCTGCACCTCTGCCCCTACCACGGCCTTGATCGCGTCCTCGGCCTCTAGTGGCTCCAGTTGGTGGTACTGGAGGTCGTCCATCCTGACCGGTAGCGCGTGTACTCACCATCTACGAGAGAATAGAATAACAGAAGTTTAGTTCTCGAATCAACAAATTCGCACGATAATAATTTCAAGAATATGGAATTTTTCCTAATGGTTCTGTAGCCTCTCGAGGATAAATACAGACGTCTCCGTACCGATCCGCGAGACTCTACTAAACCTGCTCATGACTCGTGAGACCTATGTAACCTAGGCTATGATACTAACTTGTCACGACCCTAAACCCAACCCGGTCGTGATGACACCTCTCATGAAGACAAGGCCAGCCGACTCACTTCCAATTTACTTTAAG